CATGGCTTCTTTCATGTGTGACTTCAGTTGCCCTCGATTGTGTATTTCCGTTGGATCAAACACTCCCATGTTGCCACTTGGTACCATAATAAAACGATATATATTCCAAGTAGCAACAGGTAAGTTGAGAAGGAATATGAACCAGTGCAATGAAACAAGCATTAATACAGTGACAACAGTATGGCCAATCAATTCTGGAATTACCCACTTGTTTAATTTCGAGCAACATGATCTAGCATTAATGTAATCACATTCTAAATCAGACAATGTAATTATGAAGTAGACTGAGAGGAAAATGAGCGCGCAACAATCGAGGAGAGAGAAGACGAACACTACTGCCTCCATCCTCCTCCTCCTCCTCCTCCTCCACCTCCTCCGCCTCCTCGGTCGCCGCCCTTAACTTATTATTTTAAAAGTTCATATTTTATTCAGATCCTCTTAGTTTTGAACCTTATGTCCTTTTTTGTTCCAGAATCCCATCCGTACACCACATTACATTTAGTTGTTACAATTAATTTTTGTGCAATTCATTTTTTAGGAAAAAATTTTAAAACTGAAAATATAAGAGGTAAAATTTTAAAAATTTCTATTAAGTAGGAAAATATAATTTCACTAGAGAACAATTCATCTTAATAATTCACCTCTTTAAAGTAAGCTTTTTAAATAGAATTAAATGGCTTCAAGTGTTAGTTCCCTTAGATAGCTTCAAGTACTTTTTAAGAATAGAGGGTTTTTAGGGCTGGGGGAGTAGCTTAGTACTAGAGCACTTGCCTACCATATGTAAGGCCTCAGGTTCAATCGCTGGCAATGAAAAAAAAAGACGAAGAATTGGACTTTATAGAAGTATAAAACTAATTCTTTAAAATTATTCAATTTGAGATCATTTTTTAAAAAAAATTACTTCTTTGGAGGTCCATGGGGGCCATACCCAATAATGGCTAGATAATAAACTGGTTATTCCTAAATAAGCCTGCATGACAGACTGAACTATTTACTATTGACAAGACTGAAAGACACATCTTTCCAAACTCTAAAAATAAGCTAGAGTGATGTTATAAAATTTTTAATTTTGGTAAGCAAACTATAAAGAAACATAAAACTATCAAATGTAAAGTCCTCTACTATGAATAGTTTCACTGTTCAGTTTTTAAATATATAAGGAATGTATCCTGTTCCACTAAACACATGTTTTATTCTATATATACAAATTTTTAAAATATACTTGCCTTGATATGTTCCAACCAATGAGTAGACTCCAAACTGGACAACCAATGAGATTCTTCTACGTTAGGATAAACAATGTCTTTCACTTTTTTTAAAGATTCCCGCATAACATGAATATTATGAATGTCTAAGAAGGAAAGTTCTATGTTATGATATGCATCATCACTTTCATATCCTCCTCCTGTTGCCTAAGAAACAAGACATACAAAACAATAAGTTAGGTTTTATATTCTATCAGTTAAGTTGCACAACTATTTCAAGAGTTATTTTTCTTTCAAATCTCAACACAAACCCCTCCAATTTAAATAAATAATTGATGTGAATTGACTTCCTAACCAATAGTAAGCCTAAACATTAGTCATACTTTGAGTTAGAAAAAAAAGAAGGCAAGCAATTTTCTGGGGATTCATGAGTCAAAATTCTTCAAAGTACACTGTAATTACTGGCTGTTCTTCTAGATCTGGAAAGAAGTTCTGAAAGATCCTTCCCCTCTATTATCAGCTTTGTAGCTATAATATTACTTACTCGTCTGGGGAGGTGGAGGCAGTGAAATTGACGTAGCAGCAGGCACCCCTGGCTGTGTCACAATACTCACATAGGACAAGATAAGTTAGAGGAAGATGACAGGCTTTGAAGTCAAACAGACCCAGGCCAATAATGAGAAAACAAACTGAGAGATGCTATTTAAAGCTAGTGGAATTTAAGTCTAATGTACCTTCAAAGCTGCATCTTTTCTATTACATCATGACTACCTCTCTGCTATGCAAACATGAAGGACAGAGCACTGCATGTAGTGTGATCTCAAATAACACAAAGTTCCTGGAGGTGACAAGATGGCCACTACCTAACATAGCACCTGCAAGTATTAACTTGTCAGGGGAGGGTTTGGTTCACTTCCAAAGCATGGTGAAGAGTGTCTGTTTTCCACATTGACAGAAAGAACAGTAGTGGTTTTGTTTAGGAACCTGGCTGTACTCTGCTTAAATGTTTTTAAATGCCATAGGACACATGGCCTCAGGCCCTTTAAGAAAAAGTTCTGAGACTTGAAAAGAAAGCAACATTATGCTAAGTTCTGACTGCTTCTAGAAGGAGAGCAGGGAAATACCTGCCTAGGGCCAAAGAGGAAAGAGGAAGTCCCCAGACAAATGTGCCTTCACTACAACATGGCTTTTCTTTTTCTTTATGACAGTGGAAGGAATATAAGCTTGTATCCAGGTTGGGAAGGGACAAAGTAACCTACAGTTTTGTTTTGGAGTTTGGGTAGTTATAGAGAAGGCTTCCTGCAGTAGAAGGAATGTTCCCACTTGAACTTCCAACCTGGAGACCTATGTAGCCATCCAGAGGCCTTTGATCTCTAGACTCTAGGTGAGGAAATATATTCAGGCAAAAATATCTCTTTAGCACTTACTCTAAGCAGCATCAGTAGTAAGTAGACAATGAATCTTTGCCTTGCTGTTTTTAAAGAGCTATTAGCTAATAAATAAGCAGACAAATGGACCAACTTCCTGGCCTCTTGGTTATCCAGGCCTCAGGGAAGAGTGTAGGGAGAGGCACTCCTGTCCTCCTGGCAGTCACTTTTGTAAAATGCAGGCAGAGAGTGTGGAGGAAGGGGCTGGCCTATGTTTTGATAGCTTTGAAAGTGTGTAATACAATGACACATGTCAGCCTCCCAGCAGAGGACTTGCTTCTTCTGCACGTGTGCCTTTTAAATAATTATGGTGGTTTTCAAAGAGATCCTTGACACTAGTGTTCCTTTCATAAATAACTGAAAATGTTATGTAAAAAAAAAAGAAAGAAAAATACACTTTTTACTCATTGCCAAAGCTTCTGACAAAACAGATAGTAATATGCTTCCACTTTAATTCATCATGATGTATTGCCACAAAAATAGAAGTGGCTTGGTGCTACATCTTAGCAACACCTGAGTTTTGTTTGTTTGTTTGATTTAAAATGATGTGATGTTGGGGGCTACATCTTGGATTGTAATTTCTATATATCTATGAGGGAAGAGCAATTAGGGTCAAAGAGAACAGAAGTCAGAAAGGGTAAAAATCAATTAGTCAAGCAGAGACTGAGTTACCCAAGGTTCAAATTCTCCAACTCTGGTTACTTTTGAAACCTCTCTTTGGTTTTCCTTTCTTTGACAGAAAGAAACAACCTAAATTAAGTAGTACAATGGTATGAAGGTTCAAGGGCCTGTTACTATAGATGTACATAATAAAGGGACAGATATGGCTTGGGGAGGAGGGGAACCCAAGTGTGGTTTCTGAAAGAATGATCCAGAGCTCTTTAAGGCTTAGTTTTTTTTTTCCTTAATATTTTGCTTCCATTCATTCCTAGGAGGACTAGAAACAGAGGCTCATTTCCCAAATGTTAAAAGGGCACTCAAGAATTCTGTTGTCATATAGTTAATATAATGAAAGCATGCATTTCACACATTTTAGTATCTTAAAATATTCTTTCTAAACACTCATTTTAATGCTACATAATATCTGTTTCAGGCCAAATACATGGAAATATTGCATTTATACATGTATTCAGACCTAATTATATATGAAAGTTAATAGAAGCATAATATATAAAATTAAGGATAATCCAAGAAGGCATTTATATTTAACTTCCTAAATATTTTGTAATTTTATTATAATTTATATTACATTATATTTTATTATAATTCCTAATTGACTTATTTAAACATCCTGATTGCTTTACATAAAAAGTTCAAAATAATTTCTAAACAAAAAGCAACTGTGGTAACACTTATCTAAAAGTACATATGGGGTGAAGGGTCTCCCCAGGACTAAATGTATAGGATAGATGATCCATGTGCAAATAATGCAGAGCTGAGCCCCACACTCACCCACAGTCTGGCACACCCTAGTGGAGAAAGATGTCACAGATTCCATTTAGGAAGCTGCTGATCAAAAACTTGCTTTGCTTTCAAGTTCTTGATGTGTGTTCTGAATAATTGAAGATGTCATATAAATGACCTTGGAATAAGCAAAGTATTAAAGATGATGAAATTTAAGCCTACAGCTGATGAGAAACAATAAATCTGAAAGGCAGAATGAGAGTGGGTAACTCAGGGCAGGCCCACTGTGAACATTTGTAAGTGACAGCTGGCAATGATAGGAGGAAAAAAACAAAAAGGAGAAATCAAAGGTAAAAGGGCCATTTAGTACAGAAGCAAACAGCCTTCCACCATGCAGCAGCTTCTGAGGCAATAACAGGCAGTTACTGATGTTCAATGATGACCCTAATCAATTTCAAGTACATTTGGCATATTCTGCTTAAGCAGGCAAAAAAAAAAAAAAAAAGATTGACAAAGATTTGTTTGAAAATATTAAACTTCTATGTATGTGTGACAGGAAAAATTCATATGTGTGGATCTATTCATTACTTGAATTATATTAATAAGAATGTACATTTGAGTGTGTGAGTGTATGTGTATGTACAGTTTGGACAAAGCTACAAATTTATGATTTTAATAATTGCAGCTTTTCACAATTTCTTACAGATGCCCCACTAGTACAATGAGAGTGATAGACCACAGCCAAAGAGCACCAAGGACATTCTAACTTGGCTGAGATCCAAGACAAAACTCAAGTTCATTATAGTTTATAGTTCTAGACATGCCTATTTACCTAAAGTTTATTTTCCTTTGATTATACACACACACACACACACACACACAAACGCGCGCGCAGGGTTATAGATGGACACAATACCTTTATTTAATTTATTTGTTTTTATATGGTGCTGAGGATTGAACCCAGTGCCTCATACATGCTAGACAAATACACTATCACTGAGCTACAACCCCAGCACTTTCATTTGATTTTAATCTAACTTTTAATTAATATTATTTTCTATTTAAGAACACTAGTTTTCCTAACTACTAATTTAAACTCATGTGCTTATAGTCCCAGCTAATTGGGGGCTGAGGCAGCAGGATCATTTGGGCCCAGGAGTCCAAGGCTAGACTGGACAACATAGGATGACCCCAACTCAAAAAATAAATAAATTAAAAGTAACAATAAACTCATGTGTTGACATACCATTGCAAAACCATTCAAAGAAGACACTACTGCACTCTATGTGAGCTAAGTTTCCATCATATCATCAAATGCACTCACCTTGTTGGCCACTGCATTAACACTGGGTCTTGCATCATAGATTGTGAGTTTAGAAATCTGTCTATTAGTTTCCCTGATCACATCGAGATATTTCTCATCATCTTTATTTCGTTTACCACTCATACCAACAAGAGGCTGACTGCAACGCACAATGACCGTCTTGTTTTCTGGATGAATCCATGACAGCACCTATGGTTATTTCAAAAAGTTTAAACTATCAAGAAACCGAGTCTCAGAAAAATAATTAAAAATGAAAAAAAATAAAATACTAACCATTATAAAGAAGTGAATCTGTTTGCAATTTCACTGTGTAAGTGCCCAGAAACACATGTTGAACACTAAGGACTACTTAGAATCAGACAAACCAATTGTCTTACTGGTCCCTTATTAATTAGCACCAAGAAGTTACATGTTTATCTCAAGAAAGTTTTATCACTTAAAGGTAACAGAAAGCTTCTGATATTATTTTAATTCCACAGCTTTCACTAAATTTGTTATCATATGGAAACAACTTCAGCAATAAGTGACAGAGGAAATAGTCTCTGTTATAATATGTTGCTCATGATTTTAATGCACATCTACAGGTCATTTCCCCAACAGTTGCAATTGCAGGAAGAAGAAAACTTAAGGAAGCAAAGATCTTGGACTGCCAAGAGAGCGGCCAGTCTTTACAATGCAGTTTGGAAGATTTCTCTAACCCTTTTGATGCCCAGCTTCCTAGCTTACAGCTCATGAGAAATGAAACACGTGAAAAGAGTTAACAGCATAACATCCTGAAAACTACTGAGCTGAACACCTAAGCTTGGGAATGCTCAGAGGGAAGTAGATCTCTTGAAAGTGGAGAGGCCTATTTCTAATGTTCTCTAGGACCACAGGATAAATAAAATGGACAATAGTAAAATATTTCAAAATAGCTACTAGAGAGGATATCAAATGTTTCCAGAACAAAGAAATGATAAATTTCTGAGATGCCAGGCCAATTAGCCTGATCTCATCACATTCTACACACATATTGAAATGTCACACTGTATCCTCTAAATATGTACAATTACTATGTGTCAATTAAAAAGGAATTATATGTATAGATATAAATGGATGTGTGTATGTATATACATATTTGTATATATATGTATATTTATGTATGTATATGTATATATAAAAACAGAGAACTGCAGAAGTATGGTATAGTATAATATGTGGGCTTTGTGGGCTTTGGGGTCATGTGCCAGCTCTAAACTCAGGCACTTAACTCACATCCTCTCTGGTTTCCTTCTCCTCTTTGATTAAATGGGAAGAAAATCAGTGAACACAGAGGGCTACTGGGAAGACTGGATAAATGCCCTTAAGGTATGCAATGTTTAAACACAGACTCAACATTAGCTTCCAGAGGCGGGGCCAGCAGCTAATAATGTCATGTCCAAATATGAAATGCAGACACAAGAATAAAAGAAGCATAATCACTTGGGCATACTTAATATAAAATCAAATACCAAGACATTTCTGAAGTTGTCTCCCTATGATGGCAAGTGGCAAACATAAATGTTCATAAAAATTGATGTTTTATTATGACAATGGGCTTCTAAGGGGAGATTATATGATGATAATATTCATTCATTCTCAGAAACAAATAGCTAAGTCCTTCCACGATGCTAGAGGCCATTTAGACACCACTGCATCCCCTGCCTAGAAGTGTGTAGAGGCTCAGGACCAGGGATCTTCAAGAAAGGCACTGACCTGCCCTGAACCTCCCCCTCCTAACCTACAGTGCGAACATGAGCCCTGCCCTGCCTACCTCCTATAGCCCATGTAACAAGAGATGTAAAAGACATAAGACCTCCTTTAAAAAAGAAAATTACTACATATTTGAGAGATTTACTATTTGAGAAAATCTCTCACCAAGTTTGAATTTAACTTGGTCAAAGGCAATGGCACTGTCCTATGCCAATGCCTGCTCTTCCCCCCATCACACTTGTCTCTGTGGTGCAATGTTAGGAAATTCCACTCCCCAGAGTTGTTTTGCCTCACAAATTCTTTTGGGGGCATTCTGATTAGATTTTTTAAAAGAACGCTTATTATAGAGTTTAACGGGTACAAATAATGCTCATTCCACAGTATCACCTACTGTGTCATGTTAAAGTGTATGGTACTATATTATTCTTATTAAAATTAATATTTTGAATTCACAGATAACTAAGAATGTACACAAAAATTTATTGACTAAAAGATGTTTACCACAGCATTATGTTTTTTAAAATTTTAGTTGTAGATATACATAATACCTTTATTTTCTTTCTTTATTTTTATGTGGTGCTGAGGATTGAACCCAGTGCCTCACACATGCCAGGCAAATGCTCTACCACTGAGCCACAACCCAAGCACGTACCACAGCATTGTTTAAGAAGCAAAAAGTTAAAAAGAATCTAGGTATCTCACAATTGAAAACCAACTAAATAATACATCTACATACTAGAATATGAGCAGATCATATTTATCACTATGTAAAGGTCATCAGGATATATTGCTGGGAAGAACAAGTAGATTGAGATATGAAGCATAGGACAATTCCATTTTTTGGATAAATAAATAAATGCATGGAAGGAAGCCTGGAAGTATATATAACCAAAATGTCATTGCTCTCACTAGGTGGCAGACTCCCTTTTGCTTATCAGTATCCTCTAAAATGTCTGAAATGAACATGTACTACCTATAAAGACTTCCACAAAATCAAGACAAACGTGTTTGAGAACAAAGGAATATGTATTCCTAATGGAAAAACTAATGCATTTCTACAATTTCATTACCCACTGATATTTTATTATACTTTATATCTTATTTATATGCAAAAGAACAAGCTATTTTTCAACCACTTTATATTTTTATATGGGCTTTTTAAAAGAGCTATCAGGTCTGGGGCTATAGCTCAGTGGCAGAGGGCTTGACTAGCATGTGCGAGGGTTTGATCTTTAGAACCTCATAAAAATAAATAAATTAATTAAATAATTATATTAAAAAAGAACTACCAAAAACTAGTGATTTCACACTAAAGACATGTAGGTTTTAAGTGAAAGCTCTGAGACTTACATTCAAGAGTCAGATAGTTAGCAAGAATATTGGAAAGGGCATATTACCAGGTAAAATAATACTTAATAGTAGAGCATTATAAATATGTAAAGGTGAGGGGCAGCATTGCCTTAATATTTGTTTTTAGGAAAAATAAATGGGTAGCCACTATCCACAAAGTAAGAATAATTAATAAAATGGCTATATAAAAAAGGAGATTTTATCTGTTCTGCAGTGGAGTCCTATTCATTCATTATGATGGGGATCATTGGATCAAGATCACAGAACAGGCACAGTGGCTTGGGCACAGTTGTCTCATTTCGTCTCCTGCCCCATCTCCATGAAATGCACATAGATAACATACACACAAATATTTGATATAGTAGATGTGAAATAAATACTGAATGAATAAGTGACAAAACCAATCCACATTACCCTTGCCTGATTGTCCCTATGGGTAAAGCATGTACCAGCAAGACAACAGGCTACAGCTAGGATGTGGTCTATGGTTCTGGCACAGAAAAACATTTCCAAGCAGAGCATAAGCCTACTGAACCTGTAACCTTAGCTTCATGAGCACTGATTTCTAATAAAATGAACTGAAGAACATACTTTGAAGTATAATATATAACACAAAGATATGAATCGTCAGAGAATCAAGAGAATTTTAAAAGTTACGACTCATTTTAGGTTGACAATATACCAAGGTTTCTCACAAATAATCCTTTTAAGGACAAGAATGTCTAAAATTAGTAGTTTAAGGTAAGATGATATTAAATCTTAATTTCTTCAACCTTTGTTTCTAAAAATCTACTATTTTGAAACAAAACCCAATGTATTTATTATGACAGATCCTTACAAATTACTGAGTAAAAAAATCTCTAATTTTTTAGTGAACAAAATGTATGTACAATGGAGTCTGACATATCCATAAATATTTAAGGACTAAAAGGAAACTTTGTGAACAAGGTTCAATAATGTGTTACACAAATAATCTGTACTTGCTGTACCTTTAATAAGGGTACCAAGGCAGCCTGCAAATGTGATAAGGACAAGCTCATCTTAGTAACCATGTAAGAGGTTGAACTTATATACTCTACAACATAAGATAGTGTGTTCTTTCCATCATGATTCATCTGACTTTTATAAAGAGCCTATGACAGGTCAGGTATCGTGCTACAAAGACACCACAAAGAGCATTTGTGTACATCCTTCCTTCCTTCCACACAGCACTTGGTTCATGTGCCCTCTCCCACATAGAGCTCTTTACCTCAGTTCCTTTTTAACCCTTGATTTGCAGGTGTTATCTTGTATCTTTTTCCTGTTTGACAAGGTGTTTTGCATTCAGAAGGCACTTGATAAATGAAATGAAATTTCAAAAAAGTGTTTCTCTGAATTACCTGATTACTGTTCTTACAGAATAAAAGGCATTCATTGACAGGAATGTTAATCAAAGTACTCACTGGAATTCGATTTCGGGATCTAAAAGTTGCAACCCTCCTGAGGTCTTCATCTGAGGCACGATAGGGAACCACCAAAAGAGCAGGGTAAGTATCACAGAGCTCATAACATTTATTAATAAAAGTTATCCTCCACTGGTGATTGGGCAAGCCCTGGAGGAAAAAAAAATCCTCAATCAGCACAGCATGACTTCATCTCTGGATTTGACTTTGGACCTCGTTTCTCCTTTCTAGCATTAGGTGCACATGCCTCTTTGATCACAAGGTGATGATGACCTACCTATTATTGTAACAAGGGTGTCAAATCAATAATCTAGACAACGTAAGAACACAAGACAAAACACTGGTGATTTCCATGATTCTAAACTATCTTTTATAAATACAGATTGTTTTGAATTTGAGGTCTTCCTTTATTTCATGACAACATATTCATTATTACTTAGAGAACCCAGATAAACCCAAGTTCATCCCCCACCCATGCATCCCTGCCCCAAAGAAAAGTACCATATGCAATATTAATCTCTGTCTAATTGATGAAAGAAAAGAGATCAGGCAACTTCCTCTCCCTGCTCAAAACAGAGAGAATGCTTCAGTCTGCTCCCAAGAGAAAAGGGGCTGGGCTCATGAAGAAAATCACAGAGGGGAAGTAAAGGAAAACCCCTCTGGGGAGGCTCATTTCGCCACCTCCAATGAGTTTCTTAAATCAAGTTGTTTGGGATTGATGATTTGCTCTCTTTATATATATATATATATATATATATATATATATATATATATATATATATATATATATATATATATATATATATATATATATATATATAGGTTGCGTGAGAAGCAGAGTCATCTGCATTTTAAGCACACTGCTAATGTGATAAGGAGACTCAAAAGACACCTCCCATCTATCATCTCCCCACAAAATTGTGTCTACTATGGACAAGATGCAGAGGTGGTGGAATATTCTCTCCCCATACTCACAAATGCACAAATACACACATGAAAGTGAGCTAGGTGGGTGTTTGCTTTGCGGACAGACATTGTACCTTTTCTTTAGGTCTGGCCCTATGAACCACGGACCAAACAGATGTTGAGTCTGATGTTGAGTCCAATTAGAGAGTTTTAAGTCCCATCAGAAAGTTATAAGAAAAAAAGATTGAATATAATGGCAGTCTAGAACAAAATATCTTCAACAGTTCATACATGCATGCAGTCTTAAAAACAGGAACTGTTTTTTTTCCAAGCTAGAAGCTTTGAACTAAAGAAAAGTCTTAATATTATCAATAATGCTCCAGAAATAAGGTAAATTATTTTAATACTTAATGTTAAAGAGGTTTCCAAAACGTGCAAAATGTTTTAATGGTCTTCCTTCTACCTCAGTAGCTGGTCCAGAACAGAGATCATTAAATAAGAGGTATACACAGCTTTCACAAACTCAACAGTCTCAAACTGATCTATGGAAAGAATAGGGCATACTACCTCACCTGAATAAATAAAAAATGGAAATCAACCCAGGTTCATGGTGGGATAAGTAGTGGTTAAAGGCTCTTCTCAAGCCTATGGCTCTGCAGTTTTGTTTTACATTCACTGCCTTTTCAAACAAATCATGGGGGCTTGATCTGATTCTTCAAGTTCATTCAACAAAATTTTCCAATTATGTGAAGAGCTTTGTAGAAGAACTATGAAAAAATCCATTCTGAAACTCCTAGCTACAGATTTGGTTATACCAGAGGTCAAATTGTGGCTCTTGTTACATAATATATTCCCGATCTTCACAAAAATGCTGTGAGAGATCTTTGTCCCCGAACAGCAGCAATATAATATCATGTCTCTTTATTATAGAAAATAAACATGCATGTAGGTGAGGTTTACATAGGAGAGCAGTATGATAATTACAATATCTACTCATCAGTGTTCTTGTGGAAGTTAGCCTTATAGGAAGATAGTACGACTTCATTTGAATCTTTAGTTCAGAATGAATGTGATTTAAATCTAATGGCCAGTAATAGTTAATCTCCCCAAATTAGAAATACATAGCAACACAAATCCAAGTAAGGTATAGAAGTTTGATTTTTTTAGACTCTAAACATACAATTCATTTCATAAACAACACAAAACTGATGTTCCTCATTTAGGGAAGGAAACAGTTGGAATGTGGCAGTGGAACAAGCTTATAAGTTACACAGTGATAGAACGAGCTACATGCCATTAAAAATATATTTAGAAAGGATGTTATTGGTTCTCAGAAGGCATGACTGATGACATTGTGTCACTATGCATGTTTGAGATGCAAGACATACCAGATAACAGTATCTATCAACTTACCTGCCTTCTGTATTCTTCCACTGGATTATAAACAGTCCACCCATCCACATTAAACTTCTCTTCATTTAAAAATGCAAATAATGGCTAGAAAAGGCAGAAAGTAACAACAATAAAAAGAATTTAATGTTCAGTGTGAAGGAGCAGTGTATTAATAGTACATCCTTTGATTTTTTCACAAAATAAATTTCACCAGATTTGTTGACCATGAAATTACAACCAAAACCGAGATATATAACAATCAACCATGAAAAATTCAGACCAGGCTTACACTATTTCTATCTTGAGTAACAATTACTTTTGAAACCTCAATTTTCTATGGCTGCAAATAGCTCTTTTCTTTTTTAATGCCACTCCAAAAAAAAAAAAAAAAGATTTCCAGACCAAAATGTCCATATTGATTTTAAAGAGTATTAGTGATTGATCAGCAAAAGAAGAAAATGAAATTCAAAGTGAATTTTAAACAGTGCAACTATCTCAAGAGTACACTGACACAGTTAGCTATTTAAAGAGAGATAGGACATTAGGAAAACTCTTAATTAACTGCTGACTGAATTTTGAATCAATGTGCTGGTCTCTGTGAAATGACAGGACACAGACCTCTCATCACTTCTCTCTCTATGATCACTCTCAAGGTGCTATTGATGGATTTCCTAGTTTCAAATACCATCTGTACCCTAGTGAACACTGTCTATTGCTCTCGAGCATACCCTCTGAACTCTGGACATGGCTATCCAAGTGCCAACTTCACAACCTTCCAGACTGCCCTCAGAGGCATTTGGGGAATTCTGAAGCTAACACCCAAAGCCAAATTCTTGACTCTATCTTACCAATCCTGCTCTTCCCAGTTTCCCCCATTTCAGTCAATGATAGCTCCATCCTTCTAGTTGACTGAGCCAAAAGCTGTCGAGTCATCCTTGTTCCTACTCAGCTACCAACCTGGTCTAATCCTAAATCATCTCTCACTCGGATTATTACAATAATCTCTAACTGTGCCTATCTTTATACCTCTAAGGTCAGAGTAACAGTGTCATAAGTCAGATCAAGTAATTCCTCTGCCAAAATCCTCCTGTGGCTTTCCATCTGGCTTAGAGTAAAAGTGGAAGTCCTTCCAATGGCTGACGTGGCTGTGTGCCATCTGGCCACCAACCCCCCCCGAAAGACATGGTTTGTCTTTGCTCATGACCCTATTTACTCACTCAGCTCCAGCCACATTGACTTCCTGTGCTACTCCCTTGAAGGACCAAGCACGCACCAGTCTCAGGGCCTTGGCACCCACTGTTCCATCTGCCTGGAATCCTTTTCCCTCATGGCTTACTCTCTTAATTCTTTCACATGTCTGATCAAGAGTGACCATAATCAAGACCTTCCCTGACATAGAAAACCAACACACTACCCTTACAAGATCACCCCCTATTATCCTTCCCCTGTTTTACTTTCCCCTATCACTTATGACCATTTGACTTATTATCTAAGTACTTATTTACTATTGGACCCCACTGTCCCCTTATGTGGAACATGGGCTCCACATAAGCAAACACTTGCTTTGTTCATCTCCTCTATGTCCAATAATGAGAACAGTATCTGGTCCCTGGTAGGCAGCACACATATGAATGAATGAAAAAATGAAGCCCTTTCTCTAGGACGTGCCAGGTCTGGGTACTTTTCCTCTAGGTATCTCCTTCTCTTTCCCCTGCTAGCCTATTGTTTTGCCTACCAGTATCCTCTCCCTTACATCACAGGGATTTTCTGGAAAACCATTACCTAGCAGCAAAAGTTTTCTATATTTGAATGACAAGCTTACGGTAAAAACTGATCAAGAACATGCTGGAACCTTTTTTCTTCTCAAACACTCCCAAGCATGCAGCATCCTGAGCAGGTCTCAACTTGGGCAGTGCTAGGCCTGAGTGCTGTGTGCTCCACTGAGGCCCTCGCCTGATACCGAGTCCACAGCAATGCTCAACTACCCAGTACCACTGGGGAAAATAAAAGATTCCTGTTAACTGAAGTTTAACTCAGGGACTCTTGGTGAAAACAGAGCTAAAACATTAGGTGTACTTCTTTATTCATAAACAGAATCTATGGAGCACACCTAAGCATTCTCTTGGTAACATATCTTTGCTTTGAATATTTGATAATCTACTGGTAAGTACCTGGAACAGGTAAATGCTCAAAACTGCTGAGTGCTATGCTGTTGACATAGTTGTAGATGCCGGATGGTTTGAGATATAAGAATACATAGTCACTCACTTTAGAAGACTTCAACATAAATTTTTTGTTCCTATGCTTTTAGTTACTTGCATCTTTGGCATGGAACTCAGGAGAATATTGCAACCTTTTTAAAAAATTCCTGTTCCTAAATCAACAGCCTAGATAAAGGTTTTCTCCAGAAAAATTATCAAATATAGTAATGGTATCACTATTCTTTAACTTGCCAGCTGTATTTTCAAGGTAAATTACTATTTCTCAATTGCTCATAATAAAATGCGTTTGTATCCTGTAAGACACTTACCAATAAGTTTACAAAACTATTATCAGAAGATGAAGGCTATATGACCCAAATCAAAATTATCTCCATAATGTCCTTAATATGCTTAAGCGAACTTAAGCACAAGCAACATTAAATTGTTTTTGTCATTAGCATGAGAATGAGACAGTATCCCTATGGTACCTATGTATCAGGTGGCCTTTCTCAGGAGATTACTTCTACAATGACACTTCATACTGTGAATGAGGTTCAGAGGAGGCAATGAACTGGCATCCTTTACCCCTGGAACATGCCTATTACAACTTGGCGACAGAAACAGCTCCCAGTTGACTCTTCATGCTAAGAGCCAGGCTTGAACCTCAATTATTTCAGGAAAATTTATGAATCACATATCAAATATTTCTCATTATGAAATAATATGACAATACATCTAACATTGCATCAGAGCTCAGGATGGAAAAGACCAGATGTATAAACCAATATTTCCACCATCCAAATAAATTCACTTCTAATTACTGAAAACCATTTTAAAAAAGCATTACTGGTTAGGGTTTACATGGTGGTTTTTCTTTAAAAACTAGGCTTTCCAGGGGTAAGACAAGATAATACAAATGGAAGAAATGATTTACAGTAGAAGGGGTAGAGAGAGAAAAGGGGAGGGGAGGGGAGGGGAGGGG